GATTTAACAACTATCACAACACATTGTTTGCGATTAACACTGTGTTTAGTTTAGTGTGTGATATGATTGTAAGGAATCCCAAACCACAGACATATTGAGAAGAGAAATGAATCATTTAGCTAGAGTGAGGCCATCCACTTAGCACTGCTACCCCATTTGGGCTCATTTTCTATAATCCAGGCAGTTATTCTAAATTTTACACTTCACCAATTTTCTATGGAGTTATGTTCTTCCGGAATGGACAAACTCAAGGATATGTGAGCATTTCACAACCGATCGCCATGAATTGCAGAGGTTTGTACTTTATAAGGGACAGAACAAAGCCGAGTTTGCTGAGGACTAGCAGAGAAAAGTTTTTTAAAAGTAGTCTTTAGTGCTGTATTATTTTTATGCATAAAATTTTATTTGATGTACAAATAGCTTACAGCTCATGCCTTATACATAATCAAGAGCAAATAAAAAGATGCATTTATAGAACAAAGCACGAATATACCACGAGGGAGAACATTTTATACTTTCCTTTGAATGAGCAATGAGATAAAACTATTTTCCAAAAAGAATTGATAAGCACTAATAAAGTGTTAAAATCCTATCGCTGTTGATAAGCATGGAGTACTTTGATAAAGACTAATTTTAAAGGCTAATTATTAAATTTTCTTAATTAGAAACAAGAATAACCAAGAAATGTTAGACTGGTAACATCAGCTAAAGACATGCAACAAATCATGGAAGTAAGGTTAACAATGTATCGCGTGTCTTCTGAATGGACACTTGACTAACGGGACTGCCTTCCAACTTAACCGCTTGTAGCCGAGTAAAAAAACGTCCCATGATAAATTTAAAGTACATTTTGGCCTTAGAAAACTTACGACTATTAGCTTAATATATATAATAAGTAGACTTTTATCGGAACTGATAATTCACTGTGTTCTAAGAATATTTTAATAGTTTGGTTTACTAGACATTTAAAATTGGGTTTGGGGGGGTGGAGCACTGTAGTCATATTTTATGACACAATTCTAATTTATCAATTCAGTGTAAAATGCAGTTCTATTATTGAAATGACTAATAGAATCAGAAACAACAAGGGCAACTTGTTGTAAGGCAGATTTTTTTTTTTTACATCTGCAAAATAAAATCAGAATATTGGAAGGCTCTTCCCTCTATATAAATTCTAGCCACAATTACTCCTTATAATAAATAAAAATCATGTGAAATGTTGGCTTAAAGCAAGCAAATGATCAAAGGCATTTGCAGAAGGAAACTCAAACCACACTTACGGACGACAGAGGAAGTTGGAATAGCTAGCGAGTGCAAACAGGGCAGCGGTTTGAAGACCCTCTGGTCCTTCCCCTTTGACAAGGCTGCGCCCATCGTCCTGCTGGCTGGCTACACCAGCGGCATTGCTTTTAAAAAGAAAGTTACAGCTATTTTAGCATTGCTTGACTTTTGTGAATGAGCTCTGGAGAAAAACCAAGGCTCACTCTTTTATGAGGCCAGACACAGCAGACAAGTCATTTCTCACTTCTGAGATTGCCAGCGAGAAAGGAGAGTGATTTGAGGGATGGAGATGAATCACTCACAGGGCAAGATTTCTTCCACCCACCACCTCATACTGTGCTCTCCGCATTAAAAAAAAAAAATTAGCTTGTGACCCCAGGGATAGAACTCTCTCAGTCATGCGCATAGCTTCCCGCATTACTTTATGGTCGGCAGAGAAGAGGTTTGGCATGTTAGAGTGGACAGAGTACACGAAGCTCAAGACCTATCAGGTTAGTTCCATATGTGCCTGTGTCTGTGCCTGTCTTCATTACAGTTATTTGAAAACTAATCATGGATGACCAAGCAACACTTTATCAAGGGTTTAATGGAGGGCTTCTTTGGGGATAAATTCAAGAGAACTACTTTAGAAATGCTTTGAACATTGGTATATTTTTAGTTTGGTTGTTAAAGACATAGAAGAGCTTAAGAAAATGAAAACAAGCAGCCTTAGTATACTACTCAGATTGTTACTGTTATTTTGTTTTACTAATCTTGGGTGTAGCCTGCAAGATGTAAATGTGTTAGGATGCCAGATTTATCTTCCAAAAATTCCTGGCATTGTGTGTTTTTTTATTCAGTTCTGATATGGGTTGTCAGAACAGTTATGCTTATAGTAATACCCCAGTCTTTCTCATTTCGAATGGCTTTCTCAGTTAATGTTTTACAAGTGTTTCTCAAAAGCAGTAACTCCCATGATTATTAAGGTGTTGCGTTGTTCTGCATGATTAAAAATGTTCTCTTTTCTGTGTTCTGCTCATGCTTCAGCTTTGAAGAACTGTTCAACTATTCTGAATTCAATTTTGAAGTTTCTCAGAAAACTTTATTTGCTATGGTTTACATAGTCTTTTTTTTCTATGAACACAACAATCTATTAAATAGCCATTAGTATATTTGGTACTGGAATTAATGCCATTAGAATTAATATTTTAATATAAAAATACTTTAAAATGGATATAATGTTTTATTTGGTGACAGTGTATAGAATAACAAACTGAATACATTACTGAACCTAAACCTATACTTTCAGCTTCTAATAGATTTAGTATAAGAACATGTTCAATATTTGAGATTTCTCTTACTGGGAAAGATGCTTGGGAGGAAATTAAATAAGACAGTCTCTGAAAACAATCTGCATTTTTTTATTTCTAAGTTCAACATTTAGGAATCAAAAGGCAATTCATGTAGGCCAACAATGGGACTAAAACCCCACAAGCTTACAACAGTCTCCTTGCTGACGTGGCCTTTTCTTTTTGCCAGTAATTTTGCATTTTTTTTGGTTTTAAATATGGATGTAAGCTGACTCAGTAAGTATTGCATTAGGAAAGGAGACTCAGCAAGGCCTTTGGTATTGAAAGCATATGTAAGACGCTAGTACTACTTTTGCTGCAGTTCTTTTTCTTTGGCTGGATACAGAGCATCCCACGTCATCTTTAAATTATATACACCAAGCGAAAGAATTGTTAAGGGAATGTGCAGCGCTAACATTTTAATTAGAACCCCAAGTGATAATCAGCATGGGGGTGGGCCCAAGCCTCTAAGCTCCAATTACATTAGTAGTAACGTTTTCATGTGATAACTAGATGACAGGTAATTAAAAACATGTAATTACAACAAAGTCAAATTCTAGGGCAATGAAAACAAACAGCATATTAAAACCTTAAAAAGCAGTTACCATTGTACATATTGTAATAAGCTGGATTGTTACCAGTGTTTCTTACAAGGTAAAGGTCAAATCTTGCATCCTGCTACCTTGTTAACAGATTTTAGATCAGGTAATGCGGTGAGTCTCAGTTCATAGGCACAATGCAACGTGGCTTTATCTTCATGAACTTTTCCTTCCAGACCAAAGCTGGCAAGATTGGCCTGAGATGCAAACCAATGCTGGAAAGAGATGACAACTCACCAGACACAGGATGAAAAGGGACCAGAGTTCATCTCAGTAACTCAGGGACTGTGAGGTACAGATTGCAACTATACTTTTTTTTGTTATCGTGCGTCCTACTCCATTTCTTACCAGATGAACGTGTCTCTTCCAAACATAGCCCGGTATGAACAGTGGGGGTGGATGGTCTTGAAAGGCCTGAAGGTGCACTGACACACAGGAAGAAATCAGCCTAAGAGTTCAAGGACAATGGAGTTTGTAATTTGCCTGGCTGGCTTAATTGCCAAGTAAGACCAGTTAGTTGAAAATGTAGCATATGGCCTAGTTATATCCACAACACAGGAGCTCTTCAGGGGCACCTTTAAAAAATCAACACTTTCTTGGATTTATGAAGCAATATAAATTTCAACTTTAATGCTTTTCTCTTTCTCCACTGCTGACAAAACCCAGCTTCCTAAGAGTGTCCATAGAGCCTGAAATGTCCCAGGTTTCTTCAGAGTGACACAGATCTCTTCCTCCGCTTGACAAAATCCTCAGCATGGATGAAGTTGGAAAGGGCCTTGGAAAGGTGACTGTCTGATGTCTCAGAGCTGCTCCCAAAGTCATTGTTCTTCAGACAAGGGCACAGACGATGTACAATGGCCCGACGGATATAGCTGTCAAAGACATAGTAAATGAAAGGGTTGACACAGCTGTTGGCAAAGGCCAAGGGCCCACACACCTCCATAGCCATCTGAAAAGACTCCAGGGAAAACTGGTGTTCTGGCTGCAACCTCGAGACAATGGCCAGGAGCTTGAAAGTATTGAAGGGCAACCAGGAGAAGATGAAGGCCGTCACAACAATAATGATGATCTTTATGGACTTCCTCAGCTTTTTGCTGTGTTTTCCCGACTGCTGGTAATGAGCGCACAGCCTCCTCGTGATACAACAGTAGCAGGTCAGAATGCTCAGTAGGGGGACGAAAAAGGTGACAATTAAGGCCACCAGACCCCACATCAGTTTTAGCAGAGTGGGTTCCTTCTCTGCACAGTACAGCTTCCCATCCACTTGAGTGAGCTCCCTGGACAGAAGCGTGGGCAGTCCCAGGAGGCATGAGATGATCCAGACACTGGTGCAGACTGCATATGCGCAGTTTCTCCTTCTCAGTCTTCTGGCTAAGGCTGGGCACATGATGGCCAGGTAGCGGTCCATGCTCATGCAGGTGAGCAAGAAGACATTACAGTGCATGTTCACCGAGATCACATAGGAGCTGCCTTTGCACAGGAAGGAGCCAGTCCTCCACAGCCCCAGAGAGGCTTCCTTATCCACCCAAAGCGGCAGTGTAACAAGGAAAATGAAGTCAGAAGCAGCCAGGTTGATGATGAAGATGTCGATTAATCTTCGGTTGCCGTGTTTGAAATGCAGTGCAACCATGAGGATGAAATTCCCCAGTACTCCAGTCAGGAACACGACTGTGTAAAAGATAGGGAGGAAGACAGACGTGTAGGAAAGGTGGGAGAGAGTCCCCATGACGGGATGATCGGTGCTTGCAGCTTCATAGTAATCCAAATAAAGAAGGGTGGCTGTTGGGTCCATCACTGAAGTTAGATGCTGAAGCTGGTAAGTTTTCTTACCTACTATGTGTCTTATGAGCTTGAGAAATCGAGAGAGCTTCTTGATGCAGTCTCCTCTCTCTCTCTCTCTCTCTCTCTCTCTCTCTCTCTCTCTCTCTCTCTTTCTCTCTCTCTCCTCTGTTCTCTCTGCTCTCTCTGTCTCTATCTCTCCCCTTCTTTCACGATCTTGGACGAACATGAAAACAGTTAAAATGTAGTTTCTGCCAGTCTTCTGAAGGCCCACAAGGAGCACCCCTGTGATTGGTGCTGGGCTGTGGTTGTGGTTTTCTTTATTTGTACTCGCCTGTGAAACTTAGGTGTTTTTTTGGACTTCTTTATTTAAGATGTTTGATTTGTTTTCTTAAATCCAGAAATTAAGAAATGAATCAACATTTTATTTTCACTTCTTTTAAAGAATGTAGCCTTCTGTGACACCAAATTATGCGATTGCAGCCTTGTACGTCAACTTTTTAATATTGTTATTATAGAATTGTAAAATGCTGATGATGCTCTGTAGTACAGCGCTGATAAACACACACACTGACACACACTCATACACACACACTCACACAGACACTCAAACACACACACACGTTATTAGTATTTACTAATTCCCTATGGAGGGAATCGAGTCTTCCCAAGCCATGAAGATCACACACACAGCAAACACTATGATTGTAACTAGGGCATGGGATTATTCCTATTTATCTGGATGTTTTGTTTCATAACCAGCCCTATCTTTATAAACTAATTTTTCAAATGGTTTGGACTGCATCTTGTACTTTTATTCATGACTTCAGTATTTTTGGCATTCCATTCATTTCTCGCTCCCCTTTCCTTCTTTCTTGTTTTTGTTTTCCCCTTCCCCTCTTGTTCCTCCTTCCTTCCCTTGCTCCCTTTCTTTTCTTTTCTCCCCCTCTCTTCCTCTCCCTTTTTCCCCCTCCCCTCTCTTTCTTTTCTTCTCTCTGGGGATCAATGGCAAATCTAGCTATAGGTACCACTGAGGTTTATGGGGATTACAAACATGCTTTAAAAACACTAACTGCGATTTTTACCTCTTACCTGCTATCATAGCTCATTCTCAGGTTCTCTTGTATTTCAGGTTACATCGTCACTTATGAGGGACTTTCCTTTTACAGACCATAGCTGCCTTCTTCTCTGCCAGTTCTCTGTGTTGTGCTACATACACCTTTGTAGCAGTGAACCCATGGAGGCCTTGAACTTAAGATATTTTTACTTCATCTTCCCAAATACCAGGAATAAAGATGTTTTGCACCCAGCAAGAGTTCTTTTTTTTTCTTTTTCTTTTTTCTTTTTTCTTTTTTTTAGCTTTCAACCCATCACTTTTCAGTAAATGTCTCCACACATGAGTGAACTGGCAACAAATGCAAATACCGTATAAAGTGCCTTTACAGGAGAGCTTCACAATTTAAAATTTTCATACAAATTTCTCAATATTTGAGAAACAAACTATAACAGAAGACATTTCACTGCACATTTTCATGTGTATTTCTTTTTCTCCTATGTAGGGGCCATAATAAAATATAACAACTTTTGATATTGAGTTCACCTCTTCACTGTCTGACGTGTATCGAGTCTCTTGCACTCACCTCTCCTCCTTCCATCTCATTTAATGCTCAAGGTTTCAGGATTACAGCAGTCACTATTGTGCAGAAGAAGGGATGTCTGCGGACAAAAATATCACCGCTATATAGTTAAAGTCCTTTCCACAGGAGCGTCATTTTTTTCAGTAGCTGGTTGCTGAAAAGAGCAACTGACTCTCCCTCCTTGTGGTCATAGGTCACCTCTGACCTCTGTACCAGGCAAGAGAAGTAAGATTATGGAGGACTGAAGATTCTTCTCCTGTGGAGCAAGTCACTAAAGAGTTGATCTATGGGGTGACTTGTCTTCTTTGTCCTGACTGTTCTGTGCTGTTCAGTCACGTCATGGGGGGTATATTCTTCGCTAAATATAGACTGTAGTTCAGAGAAAATAATTAACAGTTTGACATTTCTGGGACAGAAATCCTTCCCACTGGGTAAACTTTAATTATTTAAGAGAATAATTCATTTTTTTCAAATAGTTTGAAGTAGGACAATATTTACATGGAAAAGAACAGTTGTTTAAAATAGAATGTTGAAACCCTGCATCTATATGTGCATGGGTTGAAGGGCCAGTCATAGAAAATTTCTGTGGTTGTGCCTTAGATGTAACACTAAATTCATTCGATCAGAAGTTATTGTGCATTTGATAAGTCTGATTTAGGGCTAAGAGTTTTTTGTTTGTTCATTTTGAGACAGGGTTTCTCTGTGTAGTTTTGGTTGTCCTGGAACTCACTCTGTAGATCAGTCTGGCCTCCAACTCAGAGATCCACCTGCATCTTCCTCCTGGGTGCTGAGATTAATGGCCTGTACACCTACTGCCTGGGAAGGGGCTGGAACTTTTAAATCCTTACATATGTGTCAAGACCATATCTTGGCACCAGTGCGATTGCACAGCTGTGTACAGGCATTTGCTTCCAAGCTGATAACCCGAGTTTGATCTTTGGAACCTATCTGGTAGGAGAGAACTTACCTTACAAGTGTTCTTTGATATACCTACCTACCTACCTACACACACACACACACACACACACACACACACACACACACACACAAATTTTTTTTAAAGGAATTAAAATGAAAATATAAAAATTAAAAAGAGGTAATATTTATATTTTGGAGGAAAATATTAGTTTAATAGAATGTATACATGTAGATAAAAATAGAATTGCTAGCTGGGCTAGGTAACACATACCTTGAGTCCCAGCATTCAAGAGGCATAGGCATGTGAATCTCTGTGAGGTTAAGGCCAGATTGGTCTATATAGTGAGTTCCAAGACAGCCAGGATTACATAGAGAGACACAGTCTCAAACAAATAAAAAAGAAAATTGCTAAACATTTAGAAATTTAATTAGTCTCTGTAGGTCTAAATTTTCTTTCAAGCTTCTAAAGTTGCTGAGCGGGGGGTGTAAACCATATCTAATGAATATGACATTTATATCAGACTTTTGAAGCAGATATAGATAAGGTGATTAGTTTTTATCATATCTGTCAACTCTGAGTATGACATGTAGTGAAAATACGACAATGAACATTCTTCATAATGAGAATATCCATCATGGATTGATAGTATCTCCTCCAGACCTACATTAGGAAATGGGCTGTTTTAAGATAAAGATGGGGAGAAAGTAGCATGGTTCTTGGGTCTTAGTAACGCAGAATAAAATGCTGTCTTAGAAGAAAACCCACAGTAAAGGCTGGCTGTAAAATAGGGAAGTTCCAAGAAACCCGAGTGCAAGGGTCATTTTTAGCACTTTGAACATCCTTTGAAATACACATGCAGATACTAACAATATAATAATCAGTTAAACATAGTTCAAAACTCAAAAGCATCAGTGAGTCCATAAGCATGTGAAAATGTAACATAGACAAGTTTCCTTCAAAAAGGAAAACAAGACGCAGGTATTAGCAATTGAATTAAAGTACGTACGCACCTTTTGAGGACTGATTTTTTTCCCATAAAACAACAACAACAAAACACTCAAGTTTTCTTCCTAGTCCTTGCCAGAAAGGATTCCATTGGGTTTTTATTTGTGTTATTTACTTTATTCTTTTTGAGGAAGGACCTTGCTATGTACAGCAAGCTGGACTCTTAAGTCACAGAGGTCTGCCTTCCTCAGCCTCCTTTAGTGCTGAGATTAAAGGTGTGTGCCTTGGTCCTCTGGGTTTTTAAAATACTCTGTATCGTACTCACGATGTCATTTCATGTGACTAGTTATGTTGTCTTCTGACCCACTGAGCTGATCATGAATAATTTAACAGCAGAGGCTACTCACCTCCTTTCTAGTGTCTAAAACAGACAGCAGCACCTACTCCTTTTGATGTCTCAGAGCTATGGTGTTGAACTTAGGGATGCCAGGGCCCATTACCCACATTAGAGTTGCCTATATCATCTCCTAATTATAGATTCCCAAACCCTGTTTAGGTTTATAGACTCGGCTATTGGTGATAGAGCCTAGATGCTGTGTTTATCACACAAAAGTTTAGAAGCACTGTAGTTATTTGCGTAAGATAAACACTGCAATATGCTGTGCTTTGTAATTACTTTGGCCATTTTTTTGAAGGCTTAAAAGATATGTCAAATGCTGAAACCGACAGAAGACTTTTAGTCTGGAGTTCATATTTTAGGATTTCTTTTGAATTCCTATTTTCTATTTTCAATCCCCAAGACATGTTCAGAACTAAATAAGATGTTGAACAAAAAAAAGGTAGGCTTACCCCACTAGGACATTTGCTCAGGTGAATCTACTGTCCTATTATATAGCTGTAACTGCAGTTTGTAGCCTCCAACCCACAGTGCTGGTTAAGCCTTCTGTATGAACAGAGCCAGTCCCCTCAGTTGGTAGCCTCTGTCATTGGGATTAAATTACTTTGGCTTCTTTCCAAAGAAGGTCTGCCCTCCAAAACTGGTTGATATGCCATCAAATTATACAAAAAAAAAAAAAAAAAAAAAGTGGGCACAAAGTCATCTCAAATGTAAGTCTTCTGATCATGTGTATTCTACTTACAGGTCGCAGGATAAATGGCAAAGAGCTTGAAGCAAACTATTTCTCTTTATTCTTACAGACAGACATGTTTATTTATATTTAAGAATATTCTCTTGTTCACTTCTTATTTAAATATAGTAAAGTATGCAATCATTTAAACAATTAAACTTAAGGAAACAGTTCACACTCTAGGAGTTTGTTTGTTATTTGCTTTTTTTATTTCATGTGCATTAGCATGAGGATATCACATCCCTTGGAACTGGAGTTACAGGTAGGTGTGAGCTGCTATGTGGGTGCTGGGAATTAAACCCGCATCCTCTGGAAGAGCAGTCAGTGCTCTTAACCACTTGAGCCACCTCTCCAGCCCCTGGAGTTTTTTTTTTTTTTTTTTTTG